CGGATTATAACTTTTGTCGTTCGAATGTTCACAAGGTTCAACAAAGTAAAACAAGGGCCATAACTCTAGAAGTAATTGACAGAAATTGCTGACATTCAATAGGCTTCTTCATTTCACTAATTTAAATGATGCATATGAATTTCATACAGATTGGGTGATAACTTTTGTCGTTCAAGCGTTCACAAGATTCAACAATGTGAAACAAGGCCCATAACTCTAGATGTAATTAACGAAAATTTGCTGAAACTCAATAGGCTTGTTCGATTTACTAATTTAAACGATACCTATAAATTTCATACAGATCGGATAATAACTTTTGTCGTTAAAGCATTCACAAGGTACAACAAAGTGAAAAAAGGGCCATTACTCACGGTGTAATTAACGAAAATTGTTGAAATTCAATAGGCATCTTCGTTGCACTAATTTAAATGATGCATATCAATTTCAAACAGATCGGATGATAACTGTTGTCATTAAAGCGTTCAAAAGATTCAACAAGGGCCATAACTCTAGATGTAATTACACAAATTGCTGAAATTCAATAAGCTTCTTTGTTTTACTAATCTAAATGATGCATATAAATTTCATACAGATCGGATACTAACTTTTGTCGTTAGAGCATAAACAAGGTACAACAAAGGGAAACATGTACTTTTACACAATTTGCGTACAAAGTGCTGCGATTTTGTCGGGTAGTTTCATTTCGATTTTCCCGAAATTGAAATTCAACCTTCATTATGGTGGAATGGTGATATATTTAAACTGTTTTTAAAATCGGAAAAAAAATTGTGACATCTAGAGAATCCGCATGCTAAAAATGCAATTTTTCGAACAATCAGGAGCCATAATCCAGGAAGTTACGTGCGGATATACGCGATTATCAAAAGGAACCCTTGATCTGAATGTGTAATGGTGATATATTCGAACGTTTTTTTAAATCGAATAATAATTGTGACCTCTAGAGGGACCACAAGCTAAAAACGTGATTTTTCGTACAACCAGAGGCCATAATTAAGGAAGTTACAATTCGATATGCGCGAATATTGAAAGGAAGCAAGATCTTTGGGTTATAAACTTGCATTTCAAGTTTCATCAAAATCTGATCAAAATTGTGGCCTCTAGAGGGTCCACAACTTTGATATACCAGATGTGTACACCATTTGCGTACGAGGGGCGGCCATTTTGTCTGGCAATTTTAGTCCATTTTCGTGGAACTCACCCTCAGACAAAATTACAGTGTAACAGTGATATATTCAAACGTTTTTTTAAATCGGATAATAATTGTGACCTCTAGAGGGACAAGCTAAAAACTCGATTTTTCGTACAATCAGGGGCCATAATTCAGGAAGTTACGAATAGATATGCACGAAAATAGAAAGGAACCACAATATTTGGGTTATAAACATGCATTTCAAATTTTATCAAAACCGATGAAAATTGTGACCTCCAGACGATCCACAACCCTGATACACAATATTTTGACACTATTTGCGAACGAGGGGCGGCCATTTTGTCCATCAATTTCGGTCCGATTTTTACGAAATTGCAACTAAAGCATCGGGTGTAACTGTAATATATTCAAACAGTTTTGTGACCTCTATGGGGTCCACAAGCTAAAAACGTGATTTTTCGTACAATCAGGGGTCATAATTCAGGAAGTTATGGTCCGATATGCGCGAATATTGTTAGGAACCGAGATCTGTGGGTTATAAACATGCATTTCAAGTTTCATCAAAATCAGATGAAAATTGTGACCTCCAGAGGGTCCACAACCCTGATACACAATATTTTTACACTATTTGCGAACGAGGGGCGGCCATTTTCTTCATCAGATTCGGTCCGAAGTTTAAGAAATTTCAACTCCTTAGGGTGTAACGGTGATATAATGTAAGGTTTTTTTAAATCGGATAAAAATTGTGACCTCTACGGGGTCCACAAGCTAAAAACACGATTTTTCGTACAATCAGGGGCCGAGATCTGTGGGTTATAAACATGCATTTCAAGTTTCATCAAAATCAGATGAAAATTGTGACCTCCAGAGGGTCCACAATCCTGATACACAATATTTTGACACTATTTGCGAACGAGGGCTGGCCATTTTGTCTGTCAGTTTCAGTCAGATTTTTACGAAATTCGAACTCAAACATCCTTAAGGTGTAACGGTGATATATTGTAACGTTTTTTTAAATCGGATAAAAATTGTGACCTCTACGGGGTTCACAAGCTTAAAGCACGATTTTTCATACGATCAGGGGCCATAATTCAGAAAGTTATGGTCCGATATGCGCAAATATATTAAGAACCGAGATCTGTGGGTTATAAACATGCATTTCAAGTTTCATCAAAATCAGATGAAAATTGTGACCTCCAGAGGGTCCAGAACCCTGGTACACAATATTTTTACACTATTTGCGAACGAGGGGCGGCCATTTTGTCCGTCAGTTTCGTTTTTTTAAATCGGATAAAAATTGTGACCTCTACTGGGTCCACAAGCTAAAAAAACACGATTTTTCAACAATCAGGGGCCATAATTCAGGAAGTTATGGTCCGATATGCACGAATATCGAAAGGAACCGAGAACTGTGGGTTATAAACATACATGTCAAGTTTAAACCAAATCGGATAAAAATTGTGACCTCTACAGTGTTCACAAGCTAAAAATGTGATTTTTCGTACAATCACGGGCCATAATCCATGAAGTTACAGTCCGATACATGCCAATATCAAAAAGGAACCGAGATCTTAGGGTGATAAACCTGTATTTCAAGTTTCATTGAAATCGGATAAAAATTGTGACCTGTAGACTGTTCACAAACAATTGTGGACGGACGGATGGATGGACGTCCGGACGGACAGGGGCGACGACAATATACATCCACATGAAAATGTGGGCGTATAAAAATCAATAGGCTTCTTCGTCTCATGACCTTAAACACTGTGTATAAATTTAAAGTCAATTGGATATTAACTTTTGCCTCTAGAGCGTCCACAAGCAATTGTGGACGCCAGACGGGCGGGCGGGCGGACGCACAGGGGTGACGCGATATACGACCACATTTCAATGTGGGCGTATACAAATGGAAGCTAATTACCTCACTTATCGGGACAGATCATTTCGTATAAGGGGATCTCAGCAAGGCTTGTCTATCGTAACGGTGTTTGGCTCTTTCACGACAATTCAAATTTTGTGTATGAATAAGCTATTGCTCTCGGACCCAGTAATGAGTTTGGGTGTTTACAAACATAAATACGCCCGTATTAATTATTTGGTTAGACAGTTGGGTGGGATTATTTCTTTTGAACACATGTTCAGAACAAAAAGAATACTATTCCTTTAATATATCCTGATGAACTTAAGCAGTCCTGTCAATTAACCTCGGCAATCTGCTGTAGCCGGGGTAAATCCGTAAATGCCGATGTATTTTACATTTGCCTCGGCAAAATTAATAGCTGAGGCGATTGAATCATTGAATAAGTATATAACGTTATTATTTTTTTTTTGTATAAATACCAAAAATTATTATCAACAAGAATTTGAACAAATCATATGATACCGCACATCGGTTTAATTATCGTCAGATAGTTCCATGTCTTTCTATTTCTCTTCCAATATTATTTCCGTTGTGCAAAAACTGTTCAGAATTTTTCATCTCGGTAACACAATTTCCGAAAATCCCGGCTTTGTTTTGAAATTCACAGGGCAATGTATCCATACGATTGTACTCTCGGTTATTAACTATAGGCCTATATTAACCACAAGTACAACTCCATTTTGAAATCCACAGAGAATGGAATTTTCTGATGGCATTTCGTAGATCGCGATCATGCCTCAACCAATCAACGCTTTGAATTCTATAGTATTACCGTAAAAGGTACCATGCCATATGAGTTATTGTATGCTACACAGATGCAGTGAAAATGGTTAAATTTAGCGCGAAACTTGCACATGTTTTTCCCACGGTCTGCATAATTAACCCACAAGATCGAATAATACATGCAATCTGCGATACCTCTTTTGACAAGTGATTTTTTGTTTTAAATACATTTTCATAAAGACGATAAACCATATTTAGACATCCCAAACTGTTCTTATCAACAATGTTTCGAGTTCAGTATCTGTCGAATAAAGAAAAAAAAAGTAATTAAATCAGGAATATTATTGACGTGAACAGTCGGAACGTGAATTAAATATGGAAATTATTGAGAAGCTGTGGACTTTTTTCATAGTTTTTGTCGTAATCATAAAACATTGAAAATGGACTAATAACCACAGAGCATTGGGATTAGATCCCGCGTTATGAAATATTATCAATTAAAATTATGAAATAAAGTGTGTTTATTTATAAATGTTAGCCACAGAGTTGCATATAATTGACAGGGATGTAGGGTCTAATATAATTTATTAAAACATATATAATATACAGGGTATTTACAATTATGGGGTGATGATGATGTGAAAAGCAATATTTACGAGTATTCGTGTAATCGGTGATATATTCATTGTGAATAAAATTGAGAAGACTGACAATGAATTGTTTCCAAATTAATTTTATTGTCTTCACTTGTCATTTTTGTTGCCCAAACTCAAACGATCGGAAAGGTCGCGCGTTGATGTGATTGCAGCACACGTGATTGTCAATTTACATATTACCACTGACTAGTTAAATGTGTCTGTTTATTGTTTAAGCCACTGTGTAGAAATCCTTACCCCGGCTCATGTTTACCACGCATATGCACAACTCTCCCCAGCGGGTGGGTAGACTTGTGCCATTTTAACACCTCTTGAAAATCCTTCACCACTTTAAATATTATCACACAAATTCAAACAAACTTACTAAAAGCCAGGGTGGGTTGTTCCCGATTCACCTAAAATATAGTAACTTTCTTTTATATATATATATAATATACTGTGGAATATAGGGAAGTTTACAAAGTGACCCAACTCTCCCACGCTTCCATATTTGTGGAGGTATACGTCAGTAAATAAGCAGTCTTCTCACCCTGTTTTTTACATCCTGGTATTTTAACAAATACTCCATAATTCTGTACACTGGCTACCTGAAAATAGTTATTTATGAATAGATCATCAAGAATAACTGGCTTCTCTGCTTCAAAATTTGTAAATGCTAAAATAATCTTACCTTTTTTTTTAGGATGTACATATATTAAACACAGGCATCTCGCTTCTAGAACTGTTTTGGGTACCCACGTTAAATATGTCGCTAATAAATGATGACCATATAAGCAATTAAAATGACTACCCAAAGCAGCTCTGGAACTCGCAGCGAGTTGCCTGGGATTAGGCCAAACAGCCATACTCCCTGTAAACAAGCCAACAGTGAGGCTGATGTCGCCCGTCGAAATCCCCAAATAAATAGATGACACATATTAATTAATTGCACATCTATTTTTTTCCAAAGTATCAAGCAATCAAATTGATTATCAACTATACACTAAGTTTCATCACTCTCTATCAGATAGAATCAAAGTTATCTTGCCCCAAAGCATCGACCAAGGAAATTGCTTATCTCTGCTTAGCTTTAGCTCGATATGTTAATCATTGAACTCAGTCAAGACGAACATCTACATCAAGTTTAAACATTCTACCTCAATTAGAAGAAGAGTTGTTATGTTCCAAAGTCTTGACCAATCAAAATGCTTATTGCTCCGTAGCCTAAGCAGAAAATTCTCATCATCGAACTTAGTCAAGGTATTGATGAAATGAAACTATACACCAAGTTTCATCACTCTCACTTAATTAGAACTAAAGTTATTGTGTTCCAAAGCATCAACCGATCAAATTGCTTATCTCTGCTTACCCTAAGCAGAAAATGCTCATCATCGCACTCCATCAAGGCATTGAACATTCTTGCTTAATTAGAAGGAGAAGGAGAGTTGTTGTGTTCCAAAGTCTTGGCCAATCAAATTGCTTATAACTAAGCAGAAAATGCTCATCATCGAACTTGGTCAAGGTATTTATGTAATGAAACTATACACTAAGTTTCATCACTGTCACTTAATTGGAACTAAAGTAATCGTGTCCCAAAGCATCAACCAATCAAATTGCTTATCTCTGCTTAGCCTACGCCAAAAATGCGCATCTTAGAACCTAGAACCTAGGTCAATTAGAAGGAGAGTTATTGTGTCCCAAAAAGTGAAACGGACAGACGGACGGACAGGCGGACGGACGGACGGAAGAGAGACAGCCAGACAGACAGACGAACCCATTTTAATAGTCCCCTGCTTTCTTCGAAAGGCGGCGGACAATAAGTACCGGTAAGATAACAATATTTTAGCTTATTATGAATAATAATATAATATATAATTGGCTATCGATGTACAATATGTCAATTGTTAATTGTGCCATACTGGCATAGTAGGCGACACAGAGTTGAATATTGTCAAATCTAACAAAAACATGTGGCTGCTAGGCAGGATACGCCCACATTTTGCAAGAGATGGATAGAGAACAAGCTAAAAACAAAAGCGATTTTTTGCACAATCAGGGGCAATAATCCAGAAAGTTATGGCCTGAAATGTGCAAATATATTACACACTTCTACACAATTTGCGTACAAAGAGCGGCCATTTTGTCGGGCAGTTTCATTTCGATTTTCCCGAAATTCGAATTCAATCTTCATTATGGTGGAATGGTGATGTATTTAAAGGTTTTTTAAAATAGGAAAAATATTGTGACCTCTAGAGAATCCACGAGCTAAAAATGCGATTTTTCAAACAATCAGAGGCCATAATCCAGGAAGTTAAGTTCGGGTATCCGCGATTATAAAAAGGAACCAAGATCTTAGTGTATAATGGTGATATATTCACACATTTTTTTTTTAAATCGGATAAAAATTGTGACCTCTACAGGGACCACAAGCTAATAACAGGATTTTTTGTTCAATCAAGGGCCATAATTCAGGAAGTTACAATTCGATATGCACGAATATCAAAAGGAACCAATATCTTTGGGTTATAAACATGTATTTCAAGTTTCATCGAAATCGGATCAAAATTGTGACCTCTAGAGGGTCCACAACATTGATTTACCAGATGTTTACACTATTTGCGTAAGAGGGGTGGCCATTTTGTCCGGCAGTTTTGGCCCGATTTTCACGAAATTCGAACTCAACCATCATTAGAGTATAACGGTGATATATTCAAACGTTTTTTTAAATCGGATAAAAATTGTGACCTCTATAGGGTCCACAAGCCAAAAACGCTATTTTTCGTACAATCAGGGGCTATAATTCAGGAAGTTATGGTCCGACATGCGTGACCATTGAAATGAACCGCGATCTGTGGGTTATAAACATACATTTCAAGTTAACGAAATCGAAAAAAATTGCGAGCTCTACAGTGTTCACAAGCTAAAAACGTGATTTTTCATACAATCAGGGGACATAATTCATGAAGTTGCAGTCCAATACATGCCAATATCAAAAGGGACCGAGATCTTAGGGTGATAAACCTATATTTCAAGTTTCATTGAAATCGGGTAAAAATTGTGACCTGTAGAGTGTTCACAAACAATTGTGGACGGACAGGGGCGACGATATATGTCCACATGAAAATGTGGGCGCATAAAAATTCCCCAGTTAACTCTGTTTGGCTTAATATTTGGTCCAAAAACTGGTTATGATTTGGAATCTGACAATTGGACCCGTATTTTCATGTGGACGTATAAAAATTCCTCAGCACTAAATTTTAAATGGGATTATTATACCCCCGCCCACTCACCACCTCTACATCATTCCTTTTTCCTTTAAAAAAAAAAAGCGGTACACTACAGCAGTGTGTCGCGATAGATTGTCCTAAGTGTGCCGCGAAATTTTGAACGGCACACTAAGTTCGTAGCGTGTACCAAGCTCAAGGGCAGTTAACTCTGTTTGCTTAATATTTGGTCCAAAAACTGTGTGACATAAGTCACACTGGATCGTTTATCACTATTTATTACTATTATCAGTACAAATCTCATCAAATTTTCCACAGTTTATTAAACTGAAACCATCACTGTTACAAACAATGTCAATTACTTAAATCAATCCAATCGTCATTTCGGTTCCAAGTAGGCTAAACAAACAAAATCGTCAAAGTTCAAACTAAAAGTTCAATAATAACAATTTAAGGAAATATTCCAATAAGCTGGACATGGGCTCTCAGTCAATAAAAACACAACCACATCATAATTTTCATGTTAGTAGTTTGGTTTGGTTTTCATGTAGTTTTTAAACCCGGTGTCTAAGACACCACAAGACCTTTTCAAATTCATACTCCAGTCGTGAAGCCGTCTGCTTGAGCTTAGCCAAAAAACAGGGAAACTGCGCCACACTTTGCATAAGCGTCAAAATCAAAGACCTGGCCAAAACCGTCTAAAATATTGTCATGGCATTTAATAGACAATTTCATACAGATGACATTATAAATAATTTTTGTCGATTGAGGGTTCACAAGGTTCTAAAAACTAAAACAAGGGCCGTAACTCTGGAAGTAATCTACAGAAATTGTTGAAATTCACGGTACAAAAAAGTGAAACAAGGGCCATAACTCACGGCTTAATTAACGGAAATTGCGGAAATTCAATAGGTTTCTTCGTTTCCCTAATTTAAATGATGCATATCAATTTCATACAGATCGGATGATAACTGTTGTCATTAGAGCGTTCACAAGATTCAACAAAGTGAAACAAGGGCCATAACTCTAGATGTAATTAATGGAAATTGCTGAAATTCAATAGGCTTCTTTGTTTTACTAATTTAAATGATACATTTAAATTTCTTACAGATCGGTCGATAACTTTTGTCGTTAGAGCATTCACAAGGTACATGTACCACAATGTGAAACAAGGGCCATAACTCACGGCGTAACTAACAGAAATTGCTGAAATCCAATAGGCTTCTTCGCTTCACTAATTTAAATGATGCATACAAATTTCATACAGATCGGATGATTACTGTTGTCATTAGAGCGTTCACAAGATTCAACAAAGTGAAACACGGGCCATAACTCTAGATGTAACTAACGGAAACTGCTAAAATTCAATAGACTAATTTAAATGATGCATATAAATTTCATACAGATCGGTTGATAACTTTTTCGTTAGCGCGTTCACAAGGTGGAATAAAGTGAAACAGTGGCCATAACTCCAGAAGAAAACAACGGAAGTTCTTGAAATTAAATAGGCTTCTTCAGCTCACTAATGCAAACACCATATATCAATTTCAAAACAATCAGATGATAAATGTAGTCTGTAGAGTGTTCACAAGAAATTGTGGACGGACAGACCGACAGACGGAGAGGGGCGACGACAATATACGACCACATTTCCATGTGGGCGTATAAAAAGGTAGCTACACCAGCCCCTACATAAAAACTAATTGCCGACATTTTTATGTAAACCAAAAGCACACCAGAATAAACCGACCGACAGTACATGCCGAATTTTAACTTAACAGTAAAAACTACCACAAACAATAATACCATTTTCTTAACGTCTAAATGGACAATAGTAATATATTTAACTACATGTAAATATCCATGTACATTTTCCAGGATATGTAATTAATCCAGTTCAAATAAACAAATCTTAGTTATAGGCCTTGTTAATACAATACTACCATGTACAGATACGTTATTATGTTGTCGTTTAACATTAGTTGCAACCATTGAACTAGTTTTAAGTTTTACAGATCTTACAAAAACATCTTGTGACTTAATAACATCTACAATACATGCTATAGGCCACTGACCTCTAGGATAATTATCATCTACTAAAAGTACAACATCTCCAATACAAATATTTCTTTTAGCAATATTCCACTTAGTACGCTCTAATAAGGTGGGTTAATACTCTTTAACCCAACGACGCCAGCAAAATATTGTGCTTGTCGCCATTTACGTTTGATATACAAATCTTTCTTTTCAAAGGTCCCAAGGGGTAAACTAGAACAGGGTCGTAGATGTAATAAATGATTGGGAGTCAATAGTAATGCGTCAGATACACTATCGCTATTTCTAGTAAGCGGTCTGTTGTTTAAAATAAGAACAACGTCAGATTA